AAATTAAAGAAACAAAATAGATACAGTGGCTGGGCATGGTGGTGCATGCCTGTAATCCCAGCACTTGGGAGGCTGAGGCAGGAGGATCATTTTGAGTTTGAGACCAGCCTGGGCTACAAAGTGAGCTAAAGGCCAGCCGGAACTGCTTAGTGAGAGCTTGTCTCAAAAAGACAAAAAAAAAAGAAAAAGAAAATAGATACAATGAAATATTTCAGATAATTTCATTATTGCTCTTTTTTACTCCTACTTATTTTTATATCTCAACAAAAGAATATTGCCTTCTGTTTTAGACAAATTCTTTTTGTTACATATTCTCATAGAATAACAGAACTCTTCATAATTGGTCATAGTTGGAGAGAATGGGTTTCACTGTGCTTAACAGCAGCCTCTCCACAAGACTCTACGGCATAAGAAACTGGGTCTTAGGCTGGGGATGTAGCACAATGGCACAAGCACCTGCCTGGCAAGCGCAAGGTCCTGAGTTCGATTCCCAGTACCAAAAAAAAAGAAAAAAAAAGAACCTGGGTCTTGCCGGTATGTACTCATTATTGCATCACACCTATGTACCACGTAGCATGCTTGACACATAGTAGGTATGCACTATTTCAGCATAAATGGGAAAAATTTGACTAATCATTAAATGCTCTAATGACCAATAAGATGGTGAAAGATAAATTTAGAATTTTAGTTTTAATCTGCCTACTAAAGTAGTTTTTATATTAATTAAAGATGATAGATATATAGGTGAGAGAGAGAGAGAGAGAGAGAGAGAGAGAGATAGGCAGATAACTGAGCCACATGACACTCCAGATGAATGTTCTTACATAGTTTATTAAGTGGCAGGAGATTAAGAAACAAGGAAGAGTGATTATGAAGAACAACTCTTTCAGGCAGAGGAAAGAAGTCCAGATACCTGAGGCTGGATAGAAGCCTGCAGTGTCTGAGGTTAGTCTACTTAGAAGGAAGGAGGGTCTAATGCAGGTGTTAAAAAATTCACAAAGTTAGCAGGCTCAGACCATGCTGGACTTTCAGGATCCTTATAAGGCTTTTAGGTTTTCCTCTGGGTGAAATGAGGCAACCATTATAGGATCTTTGCTTAAGAGTGAAGCCACTTAACTTACTATTTAAAATGATTAGTATGACTATTGTGTTAAAAATAAGGAAGGATAGGAATGAGGAACCTAGGCGTGAAATGCTTGTGTTAGAAATGATGAGCGCAGTAGTATCACTGGTAAAATAGAGGTGCATGGTGGATTATTGAAGGGAGCATCGGTCAGAATTCTTACCACAGTGAGTGTGGGATGAGAGCAAGACAGGTCAAGAATCACACTGGGGGTTTCTCCAGAATTCAACCATGAAGCTCCCATGCACTGAGATAAAAGTCACATGGGAGAAGATTTGAAATTGCAATTCCATTTGGTCACTAAAATGCAGGTGCTTCGCCTACATTCCAGTGAAAGTGTCACACAGGGTGGAAAATATGGTTTTCCAAAATTCAGAGAAATGTGCTAATGTCAGAAGATACAACCGTATCCATCTACAGGGTAAAATTAATATGAAAAGGGAGATGTATACTTATCAATAAAAATTGGCAAGTCATTGAGTCACTGGCATTTGCATATTTAAAAGTGAGGGTGGCAACTAAACGGGGACACTCGGAGAAGTAGTGGGAACCAGGACAGTGCAGCAAAACAAGAAAAAGAGGATGGTGGGGTGGGAAGTACAGGATGGAGCCCTGGTCACTGCTGATGCACCACGGAGATTACTTTTGATGAGGCTGAGGGGACTTTCAGTAGGGTGGTGGTGCAGGGAGATCAGAAAGACTTGGTGCAATGACTTCAGGTGGAATTAAGGAGGCAAGGGGAGAGGATTTTCAAAGTTCGCATCACAGCCAATGAGCAGCTAATAGAACGTTGTTCATGCTGATTGCACAGTACAGAGACATGTGGCTGCAGCCCACAGGGAAAGCGTGAGGCTTGCATGCCCGAGGCCCTGGGTCTGCACCCCTGCACACAGTATACCTGTCAATATTTTTAAAATACAATTTTTATTATATAAAGAGGTAGTTGTTTTTAAATTATTTTTAAAGAATATTGTTAAATTCTTGTTAGTTATAAATTGATAAGAAAGAGGTGGATTATTTGATTAGTAGTACAGGTCAACTAGTCAGCCCTTTAGACGAGTAACAACCTAGAACACTTTCTCAGGCGGTCAGCAAATAAGTGTCATTTGATTTTTTAAAGTTAAGTGTTGTAAAATTGTAGAACTTAGATGAATAAAATTTATTTTTTAATCTCCACACAGCGTAGAATAAAATAAATAGAAGCGCTTACTTAAAAAATCAAATGCACAATAATTAATCCAGAATTCCTCTCACTAAAAAAAGTAAAAAAGTTAAATGATAGCATTACTGTAGAAGGGGATTCTGATATTTATATTGTTTACCAGCTTTTTACTTGGCCATGTATTGATTATGCTGAGTCAATTTCACACATAACCCAATCATATAAGTCTGCCGTGAGATGGTTCCAGTTCAAATATGATCTCATGTTCCCTTTCCCCTTAGCAGCTGATCTTTTCATAGTTAGAACTTTCCAATGACACGGGGCCATGGAGACTCATTTTCCCCGGGGAATGTTAGGAATTAGCCCTGAAAGAATAAAGATTCTGCGGTACAAAGACATGTATCCCCCATTCACACTCCTCACTGTCACAGTGTGTCATGTGGAAGGCCTCCTACTAAAACAATCGGGGACAGAGTTCCTCCACAGCCAGGTAAGTGGACAGGTCCTTTTGGTCATTTCCAATAGACTTGTTCTCCAAGTTTCCCACTACCTTTTCCCACCCAAAAGAAACTTCAAGAACGTATCTGACTCTGGACCAGCTGGACTAAGACGATGTTTACATGAAAAAAATTGAATAATCTTCCTAACTCTTTCCAAGTAAACATATATCTCATCTGCTCCCTGAGACACAGGTGCCCTTCAGAGAAGCATTTGCCATGTGCTAGTAAACCTTAAGAAGTCAATTTTTGCATAACAGAGCATAGATGTGTGAATAGCATTTCTCTCAGGAGAAAATGTTAATGCTTTCAATGTGTGACCAAAGAAAGGTAAAAGTAATATAAAAATATGGAAGTTCTTTTTTTTCTAAATGTGAAATTGGAGAGGGTGTGTATATTTTGTCCCTTTTATTTTGGATATTCTAGGAAGGAAAATAAGTCATATTTTATGCATTTTTTAAAAACAGAAGTAATCTCATAGTAAAGCTTCCAACACTTACACATAAATAGTGAATAGGATGTTTATCATGACCGAAAGCAGGACTGTATTTATGTTCCTATGTTGGCAAATGGGCAAATTTTGGCCAAGTCAACCAGCCCTTTTATTCTTCCCCCATAACGATCAGCTGTAGTACTGATGCATGGCCATTAGCAGTTGGTGTCTGTGCAGAAGGACCAAACGATGTGCCAGGTTCTTCCTAAAACACCTCATTCAGGGTGGACTTTGGCTCCACCAAGTGAGCAGTAGGTACAAGAGGGAGAAAACTATTACTGAGGCCAATTCTACACATCCTTGTACATGTATGTATATCTATATATAAAACATATATTTGTGTCTTTGTATGAGTGCCACAGTTACACACACACATGCATATACTTTTTTTCCCATGTACACACACATGTGTGTATGTGTCTACTTTGGTTTTGGAGGACACAATAGGTAGTCTTAAGCCTGAATCAATAAAGAACAAGAGAAAATTAAAAGAACACATTTTCTGACTTGTCACATCAAACTATTGGATTCCTTCTGGGCAACATGCACCGGAAAGAAACAGGTTAATTTTTTTTTTATTCCATACACTTAACAGTTTTTGGGAATTTGATACTGTAAGAACTCTTGTCTTCACTTTCTTCCTATACTTCAAGTTGGGGTTTTCAGCCTCAGAAGTCGACAGGGGTGGAGAATGTCCAGTCACCACACCGTTCAGATGTTACAATCATAGAGATGGACACAGACAGGAGCTAGATTAATTCTGCCTGTGAAGTGCAGGAGCAAGGGTATGGAGGGTGAAGACCTGAGAAGGCATTTTGCAGGTGATGTCCACTGGAGGAGCACATAGCTTCGTACTTCCTCTGAATACAGAATTCAAATAAGGAGCAGTTCCTCTTGGTAAGTTCAGGAAAATTGCCCAAGCTTGAGCTCTATTTTCCTTCTGTGCCAGCCTCTAACAGCTGCACAGGAGCAATGTGACATGGTCCACACTGGTGACAGCATTACTACTCATTTTAAAAGCATTAACAGCCAGGGAGATAGCTCAGGGGCATAAGCACCTGCCTGGCAAGTGCAAGGTCCTGAGTTTGATTCCTGGTACCAAAAATAAATAAATAAATAAAAGCGTTAACTTCTGTTATTGTAACACTGATAATTAACAAGGTATTGCTGAGCACATCTGGCATTATAAATGTTGCAATTCAAATAAAATACATTAGCCTTATAGATTTTTTTGTGCTCTTTCCTTCTCAGAAATTCAGTATTTGAAAATGAATTTACAAATCCCAAATGTGCCTGACCCACGAGTGGAAATAATTAGTGGCTTCCTCTTTTCCCTATTGAATATACTGCTTGTCTTTCTACTTAGCACAATGTATATTTGTTAACATAAGAATAAATCTATTGAAAAACATAATGAACTAGTACACTAATTTTTTTTTCCTTTCTTATTACAGAATAAAGGATCAGAAAATAGAAAACTATCATTCTCTCCTTATCCACTACAACTTCTTATTTTCTGAATCTAAAATGTTAGATATCTTTACAAATATATTTGTAAAGAAAATTATAAAGAGAAGCATTTGCAATAGATGTACTTGTTTCCTCTGAATTTCACGTACTAAATCATATTTCTCCCAAGCCAAAATATATGATAGGTGCAGACCTTAGTTCCCATCTTGTATTCCTATCTTGGTTTTCTTTCCACAGCATACAAGATTTGAACAAATGGCTGAAAGGAACACCACCAAAGTGACACAGTTTATTCTTTTGGGCTTTTCTGTCCACAGAGAGATTGAAATTATTCTCTTTGTGATCATTTTTGCAGTATATACTTTGACTTTGTTAGGAAATGTTGGGATGATTTCATTGATCCAGTTGGATTCTCGGCTTCACACACCCATGTATTTTTTCCTCAGTAATCTGGCCTTTGTAGACCTCTGTTACTCCTCGTCAATAGCTCCCAAGTTCCTAGATACCCTCGTGACCAAGCAGAGGTCTATAGCTTTCTATGCATGTGCAACACAACTGGGCTTTTTCCTGAACTTCTTGATTTCAGAGATGTTCCTCCTCGCAGTGATGGCTTATGACCGCTATGTGGCCATTTGCAATCCTCTTCTCTACATGGTGCACATGTCCCAAAAGGTGTGCACGTGGCTGGTATTGGGCCCCTACTTATACAGCTTTTCTGTTGCTTTGCTCCACACCATAGTTACTTTCCAATTGACCTATTGCGGCCCCAATATAATCAATCATTTCTATTGTGATGATGTCCCTCTGATGGCCCTTGCCTGCTCAGACACCAGCCTCAAAGAGATCCTGATATTCATCTTTGCTGGGTTCAACATGGTCAGCTCATTGGCCACTGTGCTTATTTCCTATCTGTACATTGTGGCTGCCATCTTGAGAATCCAGTCTACAGAAGGGAGGCGCAAAGCTTTCTCTACTTGCGCCTCTCACCTGACTGCTGTGACCATCTTCTATGGGACTCTGATCTTCATGTATCTACAGCCCAAATCCAACCATTCCCTTGACACAGACAAAATGGCCTCTGTGTTCTACACCATGGTCATCCCCATGCTGAACCCCATGATCTACAGCCTGAGGAATCAGGAGGTAAAAAACGCCTTGAGGAAAGCCGTGGGAAAATGTTACGTCCTGCCACTAACACATTTTAAAAAGGGAGTTTCCTGAGATGGATCCACACTCCACACAGATTGCAAGGTCTTAAAAATCATTACCTGGACTCAAACCTTTTTTACCACCTTCCACATGAGTAAAGTCATTTTGCACATGTTTGTTTTCTTCATTCAATCCATGAAAAATAAACTATTGGAATGAGTACAGTTAAGTTTTATAAAATGACCACTATCTGAACATGTGAGTCTGATGCCATCAACCTGGAAGCCCCTCTGCAACCAGTAACATTTAGCTGCTGGCTTTCATTATTCATTCTTGATTAGTCTATAAAAGAGGAGAGGGGATGCATTAAGGAAGGAAGTTCTGTGAGCCCCCATTCATGCTATGTAAGTGTCTCACCCTGAACTTTACCCTCAGTGCTATTCATCATTGTTCATTCCACCTCTGGCCACTAATACTTTCACTGCAGGTTATACCCTGAAATTATGTGATGCCATGGCTTATGTTATGTGTCACTTTGGCTGGGCAAAGGGCCAGTTGGTAAAACATGATTTCTTGGTGAGGCACTGACAATGTCTGGGAGATATTAGCATCTGAATCCTCTGACTAAGCAAAGAAGATGGACCTCACCAATATGCACAGGTATAATTTTATCAGTTTAGGTCCCACACAGGACAAATTCATGGAGCAAGGGTGATTCTTGTTTGCTTCTACAGCTGAGATACTTTTCTTCTCCTGTACTCAACCATTAACTTCTGTTTTGGAGGACTCCAGACTGTTCTGGGTCGACCTTTCCATTTTCAAGGCTTTAATCTCAGGATGAAAGTTAGATCATTAGCAGCTCTGGTTTACAGGCCTTCCAGTTCACATTTAATTACATCACCATTGTTTCTGGTTTTACTTTGCAAATGGTATATCATGGGAGATCTCTATCTCCATGATCACATGAGACAGTTCCATCTCTCCATCCATCCATCCATCCACCCATCCATTCATCCACTCATCTATCCATTCATCCATCCATCCATCCATCCATCCATCCATCCATCCATCCATCCATTTGTCCATCCATTTATCCATCCATTTTTAATTCATTCTAGTATTTTTCTCCTGAACCCTAACATGTGGAACAATTACATACTTTGACAAGATTCCATTTTTACTGTGTAGGTGTTACGGTTTGTGTCTGGGTGTCCCCCCAAAGCCTCATGCAGCCATGGGGCAGGCTTTTAGAGTTTGATTATGGGTGTGAGATCTACACCAACCCTGGGGCAGATAGTTTGCATATGTAACGGAGAAGAAGAGGATGCTTGCCTCCATGCCTCCCCTTTGTGCTTGCTGCTTTTACTGGGTTGTGCCGCCTTGAATGGCATGTGCCACTGCTGACTGCCATGTGCCACTCTGCCTTGTAACCTGCCAAGTATGAACTGAAACCTCCACAAACTGTAAGTGAAAGAAACCTTTCCTTCCTGAATTTTGGGCATCAGGTATTTTGTCCCAGCAATGAGAGGAAAGTAACAAAGACAGAATTTGGTACCAAAGGAGCAGGGTCATTGCTGTGATTATATCTGATCATGTGGTTCAAGAGCCTTTGGAAATGGCTTGTGGACAGAGTTTGGATAGGTTTGGAGATATCGACTGAAAGAGAAGCGCTAAATCACCTTCGGCTGTTCTGTCTGGGAGATTCTGGTCAGAGCTCGGAAGACCAGAAAGCTGATAGAAATCCTGCTGGTAAAGACTGGGTTTGGGAAGTTTCCATTGGGAAGAAAGACTATGTTGGTTGTTGGACTCCAAACGATGTGTGTTACTGCTTGGCAGAAAGTTTGTCTGCATTTTGCTCATGTCCAGAGACTTCGCCTAAGATTGATATTAAGGGCAGCAGCAGACTGACTAATCTGACAAAAGAAATTTCAAGGCAATCAAACGTTGGGAAAGCAGCATGGCTATTGTTGGGGGCTTTTAGCCAGATTTATATTAAGAATCAAGAACAAAGAGCCCAGCAGGGTGATTTAAAATGTGACTTTGGCCAGAAAGAAAGCTCCAGTAAAGCTGTGGACTGCAAAGGTGGAGCTGAGAAGATCTCCATTGCTGAGAAGGAACAAGAAAATTAAAAAGATGTCCTGAGGGCATCACAGAATGCAGCAAGTCTCCACCCTTTGCAGCCTCAAAACTGCAAAGGTGAAAGACCTTGCCTTGAGAAGGAAGCCGCAGAGCGCCATGTTCCAGAATGACAGCGGCAGCCACACCAGGTTCCAGAATGGCAGCAGCATAGAAAATTTGTTCCTCAGAATTGGATTCAGAGTGCCCAGTGATTCAGGCACTCGATCCCTATGGCCGAGAGAGAGGAAAGCTTGGCTACTGCTCCAGGTGGCAACAGACCTTGACATCATCCACATGGCCCTGGCTTTAGGTGCATGGAGAATGAAAGAGTTCTGAGGTTAAAGAAGCTTCCACCCAGATTCCAGAAGGCCTGGGAGGCCAGGTAGTGTGCCCCTGAGGGGGCAGTGTGTGAGGCTGTGAGTGTGAAGCAAAAGGTGCACTGGAGACCTCAGAAGTTTAGAAAACCCAGGACCATGGATCATCTAAGGAAAGCTGCAAGGAGGGAGCAAAGCAGGCCTAAGAGAGAAGCCATGGAAACTGTAACCACCAGAAGTGCCATAGGGGTGGACTCATGCAAGCACTTTGGAGCTCACAATGTGCCACAGATTGCTTCAGATGCTGGACATGGAACTACAGGACATAACGTTAGCCCTGCTGGATTTTGGACTTGCTTTGGTCCCAATGCTCTGTGTCCCCCTGTTCGTACCTTTTGGAATGGTAATGTTTATTTTGTGCCATTGAATGTTGGAAGTGTTTAACTTTGTTTTCATTTGTACAAGGGCTCACAGCTAAGAGTTTGCCTTATATCTCAGAGGAGACTTGGGACTTGGGCTCTTCAGCAATGCTGAAACTGGTAGAACTTTGGCAACTCTTGCAGGTGGACTGAATGCTGTTTGTGTAAAGGGATGGGCATGAGTCTTTGCGGGGCCAGGGGTGGAATGTTATGGTTTGTGTTTGGGTGTCCCCTCAAAGCCTCATGGGGTCATGGTGCAGGCTTTCAGAGTTTGATTGATTTTGGGTGTGAGAGCTACACCCGCCCTGGGGTGGATAGTTTGCATATGTAATGGAGAGGAAGAGGATGCCTGCCGCCATGCCTCCCTTTTGTGCTTGTTGCTTTTGCTGTGTTGTGCCACCTTGAATGGTAGCCCTCTGCCATGTGCCACTTTGCCTTGTAACCTGCCAAGTATGAACTGAAACCTCCAGAAACTGTAAGCGAAATAAACCTTTCCTTCCTTAATTTTGGGCATCAAGTATTTTATCCCAGCAACAAGAGGAAAGTAACCAAGACAGTAGGTTTGAAAGTCAAACCCACTTTTTAAAAGGACCATAATCCTTCTGCTTCCCTGTCACAGGTAAAACTGCAGGGCTATTTCTAAATTCCTTAAAGAAATGTTTTCTGAAGGGTCTTTGGAATTTAGAGTGTACTAGAAAATCATAATACAGTGGATTCAGAATAAAGTAGCATAAAATGAAATGTTAATCATGGTTCCTAAGTTGAAGAATTGAGCTCTTGAGTAATTTTAAAGAACAATATAAAACCTACTCAAAGTCTAGTCAACTTATTCTGTGGACTTAGACTACAATATATTGGACATATTCTTTCATTTATCTATCCAACTATTGGTTATGTATCTTGTACCTGGTATTGTGTGATATTTGGAAAACACAAACATATTTTTTGCCTGATAGCCCTGTCTGATGGCTGAATGAGGGAGACAGATACTAATTAAATATTTTCAAAAATGCTTCACCTCAGAGTGAAGTAGTAAGACCCAGCAAGAGTTAAACTGCCACAGAAGGTAGATTAAGCCTTTTAATGTGCAACTAAGGCCAACATTTTCTTAGCATGATTGACCAGCCCCTCAGTAGCTCTTGGTGTCCTGTCAGTACTAGGAAATAATAACAGGTACTTGACACTTGGGGTTTGTGTGGGACAAGGCAGAGCCAATTTGAAAATAAAATACCCTAAGCCTGGGGTGTGGGGCAGAGAGGGTCAGAGAGAGAGAGAGAGAGGGATTCCTTCTTAAGCATAAGCAGGGATACTTTGTTAAAACCCATCAGGATAGGACCCTCAGATGCTGTCCCTGGGAAGGAAATTGTAATCCTGGAACTCCTGTAAGTTTCAGCCAGTCACTTTATTTCAGTTAAATTAATTTGAGAGCTAAGACTTCTGTTGTAGGCTTCACTGTCCATGGAGAAAGAGAAAGGTGATTCAAAGTAAACAGAAAGTAAGAAACCTCAGACAAGAGAGACTCATGTGGCCCCAGGGACAGAAAGAGGAGAGATACGTACCTTTACCGTCTCCAAGACCCAGGTATCAGCTTCTTATAAAGTTAAGTTGTAGTCTTTGCTCTCAAGTTTCATAAAATATCCTTGTAATATTTTAAATTGTTTTATGAAGAAGAAAAGTAAACATTGGGCTGATGTTACAGCTTCCTTGGAGAGTGTTTGCTCAGCATGAAAAATGATGTGTTCAATTCCCAGCACTGCACACAAACAGATGGACAGTTGAACACACAAGCAAAGCAAACTTGCCCCATCACTTTCTTTAGTGAGCAATTCTGATTTCTGTGACTTTAAAAAAAAAATGTGCTCAGTATATAACAACCCAGATGAGTGAATAGATTATAATTCAACCCTCCTACTGAATCACAGAACAGTGTTAGGGCCAACTACCTCTGACAGGCTCTGACGGAGCCGGTGGTCCAGGAAATGTGTGCAAGCCGACAATGGACAAAGTAAAGCTTCCTGATAGTGTGTGTGTCCTAATCACATTCCTTTGGAATTCCTTCAGACCTTCATCTGATTAACCTTCATTTTTCCCTAGGATCCCCACTGTCGTCTCATGATAGGCTAAAGATTCACAGTCAGGTGTGACCAGTAATAAAAAATCTGTCTGCATTTAAGTGGTGGTATTTTGAGCAAAATAGGAAGGCATGAGCTTGTGGAATCTT